ATTAAAATATATTTAAACATTATTTATATTAGATTTTTATTAATGTTAATTTTAAAACAAAAATATTGAACTATAAGATCAGATCATTAATTTGAACCAAATTCAAATAAAAGAATTTATTAATAGCACAGATGATAAATAACTTTTATATAACAAACACTTTCACAATTCTTTTGTGATAAATATTTAAAATATCTTTACTACTCCTGAGTTCCCTCAAGAGCTTTATACTTTATGTATTCCAATCCCTTTAATTTATGAGTATTTATCAAAGAATAATAAGAAATTTATAATTCAGAGGAAAAAAAAACACATATGTTACAGAAAAAATACTAATTAAATTTATGAGAAGTTATGAATAGAAAAATATCTTTTAAGATTTGAAATTCAATATACTTAAAAGTTCAAATTAAAAATACCCGATTATTTCAATTATTATTTGATAGTAAGTTTATAGATAAATCCCTTAATTTTAAAATGCTGAATTAACTGCTGAATAAAGAAAACAAAGAGTTGCTATATAAAAAGAAATTGATAATAAAGTTAATGAATTAAAAAAGAATCTCTGTGTTTAGTCAGGAAAAGTATCATTTTCTTTTTTATAGTATTGGAAAAATAACAATCTTTTTTATTTAAAATAATAATTAAAATAGAAAGGATAAGCTAAAATTGTTGTGGAGTCTAATTATATGTTTAATTGGAAAATCGAAAAGGTGAAGCAAAAAGAGTAATGATAATATAAAAAATCAAAGTTTATGTTAAAAATGATTTGGATGAAATTCTAGATTTTATTAACATAAAAATCAAATCTATATCATCAAATAATTGCAAAATTGATTTTTCTCAATTTTGATTAATATTTAAATAAAAGTTATTTAAAATGAAAAAATCTGTGTACGTCATAATTGATATGGAGTTTCTTCACTTTTAAATGATTCGACTAAATATCTATCAATAGAAATTATTATTATGTTGATTATAATAAGAAATTGCTTTTTATTATATTTATATAGCTTCGAAAGATACCCTTACATAGTTAACAAACTTTATTTGAAGTATTTATAAATTCTCAATATAGGTATATGTTTGAATTATATAATTCTATTAATTTAAATGTTATTAAATTTTATTTTATTTTATGGAACATTTAATAATCCTTTAAACTAATATTTGAAGTTACTGAATTATTGAGTTAATTAAATTCCAGAATAATATTTAAAATCACCTTAACTCATATAAATTTATATATTCCAAATAAAAATTCTTCTGTAAATCTTTCTATTATATTATGATGATAAAGTTTAAAAACAATAATGAAACGAAATTATGTAAGTTAACTCAAAAAGTTCAAAACTTAGATCAAATATTTTTAGATAATATAGATAATTATTAATAAGATATGAATCTTGGATTATAAAAAATCTCATTAATGTGATTTAGAAATTATAAAAATAATGGAAAATTATAGAATTTCTTATAAAGATTTAAAAATTATGAAAAAAGTAATAATAAAGAATTATTTTAATTTAATTATTCTATCATTGTAATAATTAATTTTATTTTCTAAATGCAACCTGTTCTATAATTATTATGAACTTTTATGAGTTGAATTACATCTGTTTGTTTATCCATTATTTTCAAATTTTTTATCCATTTAATTCTTTCGCATGCCACTTTTTTAAATGTTCCATCAAATGTTCTCTCTGTAATTGTACTTTAGTTTTAATTTTTAATCCCTCTTCATTCTTTTTAAATTCTTTTTTTCTCCATCATGATATTTTTGAGCTTTTTTATGCATACACCTCCATTATCATCTAATATAAACTCCTTAGATTTTGTTTACTAATAATCAAATAGTTTTGAAATAGAAAATAGTTATAATTTTGAGCACTATATCAAAAATATCTATTGATATAGATTTATTTTGGTTAGAATAGAATTAATATAATATATTGAAAAATGCAATGATTTCCAAAATGATATTGACCCTGCAAAAATTGTGAGGAAATATCTAATAAAAATGAATATATTTAAATTATTGTTTGTAACGTCTTAGAGAAAAATAATAATTTGATTTTTGAAAAATTAGAGGAGATCCAATAGTTTGAAACTTAAAAATTGAGTGTTTAATTTGATTCAATTAAGAATGAATTTAAAAGAAAAATTAACAGCAATTAAAAATTAAAAAATAAATTTCTAAATAGATATTTACAAAATATGAAATTATGCTAAAAGATATGATCAATACTGAAAAATCAGTAGAATATTTGGCGATAGAAAAAAAAGGTAAAATTTAATTGGATTTATTCATTTTGACTTTAAATGAAACGGAAAATGAATAAAAATAATATAAAGAAAATGAAAGAACAATTAAAGAACAATTTAATAAACTTTTGGGTTCATTGATTGATTAGTTTACAAAATAACAAGCAGAGTTTAGTGATAAACATTTTATTTTAATCCTATTACAGTTCTCAAATTATAATTTTAAAAGAAAGAATGTTACCTATTATAAATAATAATTTCATAATTAACAATTACTTTAATAACCCCCCTTAAAAGAAGATTATTAGTAGTCGTTTAAAATTTTATATCCAGTATTGTAAACTTAATAAATAAATGTCAAACTAATATATTTAACAAATAAATAAAATTTTCAAATTATAGGTTTTATTTAGATGGATAACTAAAATGATATGATATCAGATTTAGATTTGAATAATTACCCAAATCAATATAAGATAAATACGATTTCTAAAATGTTTTAGGTTTTTTCACAATATTTGAGTTAAAATAGTTTTAGAAAACTTAGATAAATTATTATGATTATAATGTGAGTTAAAAAAGGATGAACTATCGAAATAGCTGCTTAAATGCTTTTAACCTGTAAAAAGATAATATAATAATTAGAGTAAATAAAATTTTTCAGCTCGTATAATCAATGAAGTTAATTAATAAATTAAAGAAGTTAATAAATAATTTTCAAGTTAATGTGTTATGCTAAATGATTTTGGAGAAAAATACTTATTTGATTTTTCAGTTTTCACAATTTAGAAATTTTTATATTTCTGATAGTATTAATTTACCGAATAAAAAATAAAGGAATTGAAATATTAAACTGATGAACAATATATCAATTTAAAGTAAATATTTACTAAATAGACTAAAGAATAATTAGAGGAATAATATACAGATATGTCAAAGATAAGATTGTTAGAATTAAATAAGAAATTCACAAACAAATGAATAAAGTAATGTTACATGATTATGTTATTTATGCTCTTAAGGTTTAAGATTACATTATATGGTGGTTAAACCTGATGAAGCCCTTAGATTATTATATAATATAGTTTTAAGTTGTCTTTAAGGATAGGTTTAATCAAGATATTTAGAATAAATTAAGAGGATAAAACAGATATATTTTAGACCAATAATTTTCATTTTTTTATTTTCCTTTATTTACTACAATTTAAAAGTCAGATGCAGATATATAAATATTATTACAATCTCAAATTTAGATCAGATTTAAATAGATTTTGAAAAATTAAAAGTCTTAACTGATTTAAATAAACTATAAATTAAATAAATTGGTAGTATAGAATAACACCAGTCCAATTTGTAAAGGGAAATGCGATGAAATAATATCAATCATAAGCATTAATGTAAAAATGGACATCAAATAAGAGGTAATATTTTATTATAACTAAGGAATGATTGGAATCTAGATTGGTTGTATTTGAAAATAATGGGATATATGGATCTGTAACTGATGATGGAGATTATTTAGTGACATATGATTAGAAAAGTAAGGAATTATAAATTAGAAAATATAGTGAAATATGAGGTTTATCTATATAAAATATTATCAAAATCTTACTAAATAGCTTCATTTAATTCAATTTAGTCATGATCATAGTCATTTAACCTTCATCTTATTTTAAATCTTAGATTTTCTCAAATAATTTTTTGATCATTATCTTTATTTTTCTATTTATAAGATTTTTATAAATAATCTCACAAGCAGCTTTTAAATATCAAATAAACTAGTTACTTATAGTACAGTATTTACTGTTACTATTGTAAATATCATATTTGATGTTTAAATTACTATATATTAAATCCATCCTGATTCAACCAAGAAATTTAATGATTTGAAATATATATTCATATCTTATTGAAGAGCTGCATTTCAAATTCTCTTTATTGCTTCTCAAAAACTAGAAGCAGTTAATTCAACTTCAATTTTAATTTGTATCACCATAATTTTAATTTTATTTATTACAATTTTTCTTAAACATTTTATAAATTAGCTTCTGATAAACCCTCAAATTAATTAAAACATAAAAACAAATAATTTTGGATTTTATAAATATCGACTTTGAAAAATTATAAAAAAAATTTTGTTATAAATATCTTAATTTTACATAATTTCTTTTATAAAATTGATTTTAAATATTACAACATCATTATTATTTTAGAAGAATTATTTCTTTAAGAGGCTTCCATTGATTCAATGGATATAATATCAATGAATTATATTAGTTTGTAGATATATGGTTGAAATTGGAAAAAATCAGAGATAATAAATTTTTCATCAAGATCCAGCAATTCCTCCCCCTATTCAAGTAAAAAAGGCTTCAAAAAAAGATATAAACAAACGACACTCAAGAAGAGATCGAGAAACAATTCGAGTTTGAACATATAAGCTTGTGTAATATCTTCAATTCTCATAAATTATCATAATGAAAAAAGAATGTTTTAGGATCTGTTTGAATGATAATAATAGATCAATTAGATTTAAATTGAGATCAATACTGTGTAAAGAAAACTTATTAAGAAAATTAGATAAGGCTAGAAAAAGTAATAAGAGTAGATTTTGAAAGTAGAGGATGATTTACTCTTAAAATTATGGTTAAAAAGAAGAAGAATAATTATCTTTACTTTTTGGAACCACAATATTGAAAGGATGATGATAAAGTGTCAAAACTGAGAATGCCTTCATTGAAATTAAAACTTAAAGTCTTAAAAAAATTGAATACTTAATATCGTGGCCATTATTTACGCATTCAAGTACTTTTAAAATCAATTTTTAACTATGGGGCATTATTAATCTTCAAAACGTCTGCTTCTAATAAAACTTTCTTCTAGAGTAATATTTAGAGTGAAGTAGATGATTATTTGATAAATTTCTAATCAATGCTAGAATGATATAGTGTCTATATAATTAACTCTTGTTTAGTATTTCCGTTAGTTTCAGTCGAAAATTCCTTTTAATAAAATATCATGATTCTGGATGTTTTTAGTTACATTAATTATTTTCCTTATCTTCTTTTTTTTCCATCAAGTTCCACATTTTAATAGTAATAGCCTTTGAAAAATATCCTATAAACTAATATGTATTCTATTCTTGATATTTCAATTAGCAAAGATATGCATTATTGAACCTAAATCTAAATAGTCCTTATCGCACTTATTAGAAGAAAAAGGGATGTATTGATAAAAAATTATTTAAATAAATGACAATTCATTAATTTTCCAATAAATTCAAATTACAGACTCTTTTAAATATAGACCATTTACAAAATAATCAAATTAAATAGGAAATTATTAATATTATAATTTTATACTCTCTTCTGATACTTTACTATTCTTTAATCCCTTTAAGATTTAGTTGTCCTAACATAAGTAGTTTCAATAAATTCATTTTTATAAACTGAAAATGTTCTATTTCCTTTACCCTCATATAATAATATGTCCTATTATCATTTGACCAATCCATCGCTTTTTTTTCTTCTCATTTGGTAACTTTCCTATACTTCTAGAATTCCAAACTATGTTCATATTTGATATAAATTTGAATATTCATAATTAGACTATATAAGAAATTTGATTGGGTATCCTAGATCAATAAGTGTGTACATTGAAAGTGATATTATGATTCCTAATAATAACTTTTACGAAAAAGTTTAATTGTATAGTTGTTATCTTAAATTATTCATATTTTTGGAATCAAATGATGCAGCAAATCAAATCTAAATTTTTGGAGATGCTTGATGATAATCTCAACATTAAGCATAACCACACTAAAGTTTAGAATTAAAACACCCATTATAAGAAATGTAATTTCCAACATCAAATTTTATTATCCTTAAATTAATTTATCTCCAAAAATTGGATTAGTATTCATCTAAAAATGTCCTTATTGAAAAAATAAAAAATAATCTTTTAACTATTCTTTCTAGCTTTTAATACAATTTTTCATATATTTACTTATAAAATGTAAATTAATACAAAATCTATTATATAAATAAATCATGAAGAAATAATTTTAAATTTTGATTTAGAGTCAGGAATATTTTTAATAAAAATTTCTATAAAATTTTAGAATAAAATAATATTTTTAAAATCATAAATTTATTAATTATTATGTTAAGAAGTAGCAATAAGTATTTATTTATTACAGATCTGTACTCTCATTTAATTTTGCTTAAATTTTGTATTTGAAAATTAATTAGCTATAATAATTGAATATTCTCAATTTCATTATGATTTGTAGAATTAATATTAGTCCTAATAATCAAGAATGAAATTTAGAGTTTTTCCCAATTCAAACATGAAGTTGATTAGATAAAATAACAATTTAAGTAAGGCCTTAACAAATTAGACATTTAATAAGTCTCGTATATTAATTTTTTGTATAATATATCTGCAATTTTTAATGCTGTTTGGTAAAATAAGCAATTTAAATCAATGATAGAAGTCATTAACAAAATGTACTCCTCTAAAAATTATTGATCTGATCCTACAAAAATATCAAATGGCTTCTTAATTGAAGTTACCTCTGGAGACTATTTACACATTATCTACATATACTTAGAGTTCAACAGTATATTCAATAGCATTCGATTTAATTCAAACAGTATGAATTAAATACTTTGAAGATCTGATTTTTGATGAAGAAAATTAAGTTTATAAAATTCAAATTTATGTAATATTTAAATCAAATAAATTCCCTATTCTGAATTTTCCATGTAATATCGATAAATTTATTAAACAAATTATGCATATAATCAACTTATAAAGATGGAAGCTTATTATAAACAATAAATACATAAATTCAAATGAATTGTA